ATTGCAAGGCGACATTCGCCGCCAAGTGGGGCGGGCTGGGTAACGGCGAACCAGCGACTGGCAACCAGCAACTGGCAACCTGCAACTGGGGAACGGCAACTGCAAATTGTAAATTGCGCTTACACAACTCGGCACTTGCAAGCTGTGTCACTGATCGAAAGTTGGCTGCCCGGCCCCGTTGCACACGCACTCGAATTGCGAGCTTATTATGGGTCAGTTGCCAGTTCGTTGATGATGGATCGATGTTTATATTGTGCACACACATGCGTACATGAATATATGCATAGGCTGCATGCAAATTGCAATGCTGACACTGTGCCCTGTTGCAGTTGTTTATTTTGCATTAATGAGTTTGTAGTTGAGTGTAATAACAGCCTGCAGTTCGATGCAGTCGTTGTCCTATATAGGCGCATACGCAAAGCCAGAATTATCGAGAGGTAACCAGGTCAGAGGCGCACTCTTTTCACAGTTTGACAGGAATTGGCTCGGCTGCCGCTCAACGCCAGGCGGCGCTGCTGTGCCCAGATTGTGTATTGTATTATTGATTTAGGGGTTGCTTTCAGTTGATTGGAAGATCAATATTTATTGGAACTGGGCCTAAGTCGAAAAACGGACGAATGGTAAGAGAGCTAGCTATCAATTGGGAAACAGAGTGAGAAGATTTAAGATGAGAGACATCAATAATAGATCAATAGTTGCCTAGAGTTGACATTTTTATGTATTCACTTTATTTATAATCTACCTCTAATTTAGTCTTTAGTATTATAGCAAATTCAGTTGACGCTGTATCCACATCCATCCACATTCTCTGCTGCTTCTTTCCTTCAGATATTGCCTCCAGTCGACAGCGACTGACAGCGAACAGGCAAAAACAAACAAACAAACTAAAAGTGTCTCAGGTCGCTTTAAATGGACTATCCCTGCATCCCCGTCCCTGCGCCCTTTGCCCTTCGTCCTTCGTTCTTTGCCCTTTTACTGAGCCGTACGCTCTGTGACCTCGGGCACAAAGGCTAGACAACCCTTTCTTTGCACAGTGCCCGTATCGAGACCACGGCAATCAGTTCTCTCGACGTTGTTTTTTCCGTCGCTTGTTTTTTCAGCATTTTCTGTCAAATCGTCATGATTTAATGAAAAAATCAAGGGAAAAAAACTTATTTGCATACGGATATAATTTAGCATTAAACGAGCCAGAGGCAAATCATCAAAAAAAAAAAAGGATTTTAAAGCGAGATTTCTTTTTTTTATCGAGTATTGTCTATGTGTGCGCGTGTGTGTGTGATTGTGTGATAGGAAATGGCTCGACGATATCTGTTTGTTTGAGATTAATATGCCGTGCATCTGTCGGTTTGCGTCTGTGTCTGTCTTTGTCCACATTTGGGGGATTGTCCCATAGTTCGGCCTGTCAGCTCGTTTTCAGTTTTTGTTTTGAATGATGGTATAAAATTAGCATGGATACGATTTCACTTTTATAATCAGCGAGGACTTTTTTGTCTCTTTACATATTTGCTTTGGCAAACGTATAAAATTTCATTGAATCAATGTGATGAAAGCGATAGTAAAACGGTGGCAATAGCTGATTCTAGCTGTGCTTTTAGCAAGAATATCAAGTTGGATATATATGCACATATTTTATATTATTTGCATAAGCTATAGTCATTTTTAATTCTTATTTTATATGAACTTTGTATTTATTTGCAGTGCTAAAAGTCAGTTTCATACATGTTTGATTACAATTATTAGTTTTTAAAATTTCATTTAAATAACTAAACAAATTAGTTCTACATTTGGTGAAATAATAATATAAGCCGCAAGTCTCCTAGACGTTGATTGGTTGGGCAATCTGATCTTAAACCAAGATTATAATCTCTAACTGCCCCAAAGCGGACTATCTTAGATCAATAATACCCATGCCTAAGTGCTTAGCAACAAATCGGGCATTTTCGTTATCAATGGCCAACGATTTGTGCCTTTATCTTGAGGCGTAGCACACGCCCCCATGCATATCATTAGGGAAGATTCCAGGCGGCAAGACGGCCCGCGCTTGCGAGACGCAGCTTAAGTTGCAACTGAAATATTTATTATAACTTAAATTACCTTCTAATTACAGCTAACGCCTCCGAATTACCATTTCTACCTGTCGAGGCACGGCCCTAACCCCAACGCCGGAGGCTGCGCCCCCCGCCGAGCGGCGAGCCCTGTGGAAAAACAACATGCAATGCGGCATTTACATAAGAAATTAGCTTGTAAAATTAATCCGCAATAAGCTCGCCTCGAACAGCAGCCGAGCAGCCAAAATTACCGCATTAAAAAGCAATTAGCATTTAAATATCGGGCCAGAGACCGAAGACAAAGGACGCTACAAAAGAGAGAGAGAGAGAGATTGAGCAGCAGAGAGAGTGAACAGAGATGAAGAGGCACCGCGAGCCGGGCCAGAGTAACGCTGCCGCATATGGGCGGCATTAAGTGGAGCTCTCTGAAGTGAAGCTGGAGTGAAGGAGAGCCGAGCGAGAGCAGTTTGCCGTCAAAAGTTGCTTGGAAATTAAATTTCCGTTTGGTTGCTGAGGCGTCGAAGACGGCATTAAAATTAAATTTGCGCTGGGCGCGCAAAATCAAATATGGCTAAATCAGCAATGTTGCCGATAAACAAACGCGTTCGGAAGCCATTAAAAATTATCATATTGATTAGGACCGAAGCGGAGCGACCTCGTCGATGGCCGAGGGCGGGTGGGCGTTTAGGTTGACAGGTTGGTGGTGGTGGAGGTAGAGGTAGGGGTGGTGGTGGCAGCTACAACGGTAAACATCAGCAGGCCTCGGAGCCAGCGAGCTGTGTCATGTGCCCCTGAGACGCGCACGAGGCGCATTAGATTAGGCCGGCGTCTGTTGGGTGGCTGATGCTTGTTATAGAAAACAAATATCGATTCCATCCCTTAAGTTTACACCCACAGCTATAACGTTACCCTCAATGGCCACCAAACAAAGGAAATGAAAAAACGAACGCAGCAAAAAATACAGCAAGCCAAAAAAAGAGAATACGAGAAAAAAACTCACCACCCACAGGCAGGCTGGCAGGCTTTCAAGCTGACGGGCAGAAGTACGGGCTCTGGCTCTGGCAGGGGCGTGGGCACACCCTCTGACAATGCCAGACGTTCGTGAAGGCGCCGGGGGTTTTGACTTCGACTGCGAGCTCACTAGAGAACTGCGAACTGCGTACTGCCAACTGAGTTGTGGGACTTGGCTGCCTTGGCTCTTCAGCGCCTGCTCACCCGAGCAGCGAGCAACCATTAAAATTTCGAAAATCCATCATTGGAAAAATGGTTGAAAAAAATGTGCGCACAACTTCCGTGGCCATGTTTTTTTTTTTTTTATATATACACATTTTTTTGTTGGTTATTTTTGGCAAGTCTCAACTTTGAGGTTTGAGGGTAGCTGAGGGTGCGAGACATTTTGCAAATATTTCTATAAATTTTTCAATATTCAAAAATTTTGTTGCACCAACGAGGCGGCTCAAGTGGGCAACTGATTTGATTTTCTAATTTGCCGCAGCGGCCAAAAAAACTCAAACGAATTTAAATCTGAGCTTCAGCCTTTGGCTGTGGCTGTGTCTGTATATCTATCTGTGTCTGTATATCTATCTGTGTCTGTGTCTGTGTCTGTGTCTATGGCTATATGAATGTCTGCCTAGGCAGCCATGTAAACACAAATCCAATCAAATAAACGAAATTAAGTGCACGTTGATTGGAGGCAAATCTGTTTTCAGCCTGAATGATGAAAATCAGCTGGAAGACCAAGCTCTGCGACTGTGAGTCAAATCGAATCAACATCAGACGGCGCAGCGCTGAGCTGTGCGACGACGATGTGCTTAGCTACAACAAAAAATTGATTTCTGCAAACGTGGCACAAAAACTCGGAATTATTTTTATTTGAATTTTCAAACACCAGCCACAAAATATGCCGCACACAAATTTGCATTAGGCACCTGTAATTTCTGCAGGACTGTAGGCAGTGGCAACCGCAATGGCAATTTCCAGGCCACGAGCCGCGCTTATCCTCCGCTCCAAGATTATGGAGCGGCTGCCCAGGCAACGCCACGAAAATTTTGATTGTTATTTGTGCAGACAGTAAAAGCCAAAGCGGTTGGCCCTCTCAGGAGCCCCCACCCAGTGGCAGGGGCAGTAGCAGGAGCAGTGGCAGGAGCAGTGGCAGGAGCAGCGGTCGTGGCTTTTATTATAATGCGCACCCATAACTTGCGAGAAGGTAGCCGCCAAGGCCTAGCAGGCTGCAAGCGAAAAATTGAAATGTGAAATATTTTTAAAAACCAATTTCGCTTAGCCGCCGCCCCTATCTGCCGATGCTCCTGGACGGGGCAAAGAAGCAAGAAAACGGCATAAAGGAAATTGTTTTGTCCTGAATTCATAAGAATTTCATTGTAGCTTTGAGACAACAATGTAAGCAGACAAATACTAAATAACATAAATGTTATTGCAGCATTGTTTACTCGTAGACTGTTGCCTACGTTCAAATTGAGTATAATTACAACAATAATTTGCATCACAAGAAGATTTCCAATATAAAGAAAATTGTGTTAAGTGACTGGTATATACCCTTCTTTAATAACTATTTTTGTGATGATATCCGTGTTTGGGCTGGAGATCAACGATTTGTAGTGAAGATTATCTCATTATGAGGCAATGATATATCATAGCATAGCTGTCGATGTAGATATGACTATTTATATATTATCTGTCGAGAAATCTGAATCATTATCGATTATATTGACTAATAAAATTATGGTGGTGCCAGACTGCCACAAAGTCGTTTGGAATAACTATGACCAATTCGTGTGCGCATGCTTACCAAGTTAAATATTATTTATTGAACTACTATATATGGATGTACATCCAAGTGTAGTACGATTTTATTCACCAGACAAATGCACAAAGTGCTACAAAAGATAATCATTTCTACTAAATATAACATAATATTTAAAGTGGGAGAGGCCCTGCAGAGGAATAATGTATTAAGAGCGACTTTCTCGCTCATCAACGACTGACAATCTCTCTTTTATATCTCGTAGTCCAAGTATGTAATCATCATCATGCTGAAGCTGTAGATGGCCTTGGTCAATTGTAGAGCAGTTGTCATCGACAGTGGGAGCATGTCCGCCGCAGTTAGGGAGCGTTCGTCCTGGGACTTGGCCAGCATGAGAATGACGAGCTTCTGCTCCCTCACCGGCAGCTCGTACCACAAGCAGTTCGAGTAAATTTCATTTGTGAATTGTTCATTCTATGAAGAAATGCATCATAGAAGGAATATTAGTCAATCAATGCGCTTACCGTGGTTTCTACAATGGTGCCCAGACCGCAAAAGGTGTAGAGCACTATGAAGCAATATAGTAAGTAGAATGGCGCTGTGGGCCAGTTTTTCATGAAGATGCAGGAGATAGTGCACAGAATGCCGAAGCAAGTTGATATGAGCTCGACAAACATGACAGCCGTGTATATTTTCTTTGTTCCTCGCAGTATTCTACAATAAAACGAAATACGGGGAGACTGCTTGGAGATTCTCTGTTGAAGACTCACGTCGCGTACTTCTGATGCCAGTCCAGCAGATCCCAGAGCTTTGCATGCATCTCCTTATACTTGTCTGGCTGCACGACCAGCTCGTTGAGCTCGTTGAACTTCTCTTTGAATATGTCCTTCAGCAGCGGTATATTGATAATGAATAAAAATAGATACATGTCGCCGCCAAAGTTGCCAAATGCGCCCAAGAACAAGAACGTGGAGTGGATGCCAAACATAATCACATATCCAGTGTCGGATTTGTGATCGATGCCTGGTATCAGGAAGTGCAAGATCATGGCTTTCTTGTTGTAGACGACGAGCTCGAACAGGGGAAAGCAGATCATTATGATGACCGTAGTCGTGTAGAGAAAGACGAAGCCCAGCACAAGGTAATAGAAGTTATTGATGCGCTGGTGCAGATACTTGGAGTATACGCGACTTCTGTCCTCGTACTCCCTGTACATGGACTCGTAGGTGAGTTGTATATTTCGTACTAACGTAGCATTACCCACGCAGCACACCAGCTTTACCAGGCCCTGAGCGCCCGAACCAACCGTGGCAATCGCAAGCAAAATGGTCGTGAAATCCCTCTCCTGCACAGCCCTATACACTGTGTATCCGGTGAACCCAAAGTATGCGAATATGGTGACAGTGATGAGATAAGTCCAGGCCCACATACGATAGTTAGGGTTGGAGACATCGGTGCCACAGATCTTAACACAGAATCGAATAAGTCTAATAATCGTAGCAAACCGAGATACAGCCGTCTTCGCCATTGCTGGTGTCTTAAGTCTTAAGGATAGGACGCGAAACAAGAGAAGCCTTTTCCCAGACTGTATGGCAATGCACGGAGGAATTTACTTTTATTGCAGCGAAAGCCTAACACGAATGTCAAAATATTGACAACTTAATGGCCCATTTGATTGCGTTGTTTTAAACTATGTAATGGCTCAATTAGCGTGGTCTTAATTTGTTTGACCTTCACTGCTTGGTAATATATTTAATATTTACCGTTTATTGTCAGACCATCAAACCTTTTGGCTTGCAAATACACAAATGTATGTATGAAAACATATCCACATTTCTTTTAATTTGTTGTTTATATTACTTATATATTATAAATTTATTTATATAAGATATTTTGAGAAAATTGTGGTTTGTAAATACTTATCATAACAATAACGAATATCAATTCGTTTTCCTTTTACATCTATATATTGCTCAGCTTTATTAATTGAATATTCTAATACAATACTAATACTTATACTAATACTCTTAGATCATCAAAGTCTCTAAGCAATTTCAGAATTAAAATCTTAAATTAACATGGAGTTTGTAAATAATTTTGAGACATGTTTAAATATCAGAACCTTTATCTTGCACATGTTCCTTTTCCTCATATTATTTATAAAGCATAATAAAATTACTTTAAAAAGTGCAGATCATATAAGCCCTTAACCAATCGCAGAATGGCAGTCAAAAATGCAAATAAAGCTCGTAAATAAAAATAAAACTTAGGCTTTAAGTATACAAGATACATTTACAATACTTTTCTCTTTCACACCTTCCCTTTCATCGGGATGTTGATTAATTGAGTATAACGCAAACAAGACGTAATCCGACTCTGAATGCTGTCATAAGCACTTCATAATTAGCATGCCCGTAAATTTGGCACACTTTGAGCCAAGTCCTACCCCGATGGCCGCTAACAAAAGAAAGCGGCTTGTGGTGAAAGTGAAATTGCGAAAATAGGCGCAAAAAGGCAACACACAACAAGGGGAATTAGCAAACATGACAATGCAAATGACACAAAAGAGAATCGCACACAAAAAAGACAAAACACACATTTAGAAAGTTGCCGAGGGGATGGCGACCCTCAAAAGTGGGATTCGATTTTGTGACTTAATTGCTTTGACATTTGACTCAGTCAATTTGCAAAACTGCAAGCGATCGATAAGCGATTGGCAAACAGCAATACACGAGGGTTGAGCGCGAGGGTTCGAAGCTATCAATGGGTATTTGGCAAATTGACGGGGCGTTTTGGGTATTGCAAATAGCATTAATGATTTGATGAGCTGTTGTGGAAACCTGTTGAGCGGCTCTATTAGTAATCAGCTAATAGATTAGATATATAAACTGTTTGTCTATCATGCACGAGGCAGCTGCGCACGTAGATCGACCCTGACAATTAGCATCCTGGGAGTTTCTCACGCGTCTTTCGCCTCACTTGCATAATGCATGAGGCCGGCTGCTCCTCGAGGCAGCCACTCTCAGAAAACGTGCTTTGACTCCAGTCTCATCGACGCCTTGGCCTTTGTCAGGCTTGCAGGCTTGCAGGCTGCGTGACAGGAAGCAAATGTCCTGTTGTGTCACTCATATGCAAATTGGCAGGCTGGCAGGCTGGCAGGCTGGCAAGCTGGCAGGATAACAGGATAGAGTTCTGGTTTTTATATTTTTTATTAAGCGTCACATCGTCTGCTCCTTGCTATTAATTAGAATAATAATTAATAAAGCAACTCCTCGAGAAGGATGCACGTGCAGCCGAGCAAAGGAATAAAGAGTCTTCAACCCTTTGGCTGCAGCATAAATTAGTTGCCTCATTGACAGCAGAGCCAGAGGCTAGGCAGATGCTGAGACTGAGACTCTGACTGAGGCTGAGGCTGAGGTTGAGGCTGCGACTGGTGCAAGTTACCTGTCGAAAGGCAAACCAATTAAATTACAACAAACAGCAAATGATGCGTACTTAAACACGTCGACGTGACGTGAAATCGAAAACCGAATGAGAGTGAGAGCCAATTCCCTGGCTACGTGTAACTAAATATGATTTTGGTGTGTTCGCTGGGAGCGGCTGGCTCTTTAGGGTTAATCGAAAACTCAATTTAAATTTGCATATGATTTCTATTTAATTTAGGAAAAAAAAAATTAAGGGGAGGTTGGCTGCTTCTGGAAAATCGAACTCTTTTTTTCATACTCACATTTTTTTTTGCTGGACAGCTGTCAAATGACTGGCAGAGTTTAGCGGTATTTTGTAGCTATTTCTTTGACGTTGTTTTTACAGAGTTTCAACAATATTTCCAATCTGCACACACTTCCTGCACAGACAAAAACTACGACAGCCACAGAAACAACAACAGTGAATAGCAAAAGGACCGCATCCTGGTCCGCTTCCGCATCCAGACCGCATCCTGTTCAGCTGCTGCCTCATCGGTTGCTGCGTATGCAAATTTCGGTCTGAAACATTTTCTTTTTTTTTCATTCTCGAAACCTTTTTACGTGGATTTTTTATTTTCATTCATTTTTTTGGGACTCGTGTTTCTGTTGCATGAAGAGCGAAGCATTCTGTTGTCTCGACAATATGTAACTGACACTTGAAGGGGTGTTCAAGCAACATTTGATGCTGTTGTGATAACCAAACTAAAAAAAAAAAAAAAAAAAAAAAAATTTTAAGCCTACTTGTTAGCGCGTAGGCATTATTAATTAAACGCATT